CCCCCCCCCCATCTCCAGGCAGGGCACCCTCCCCGTCACCCTCTGTGCCGGCTCCGGGGCCGGTCCCTGCGGCCGCGGGGGGGGCACCTCGCCCTCACCCTCAAGTTCTCGGGGGCACGACGCCGCCGCGGGGGGACCGTCCCAGAGCCGCCCCCGGCACGGGAGGGGGCTCGGCGGGGTCTCGGCGCCCCCGAGACGGCTCCGCCGGGGCTGCGTTCCGGGCGGCGAGCGGGGAACGACGGCTCCTGCGGGGAGAGGCTGCGGTGCCGGCCCCGGGGCTGCGGGGTCAGGCAGGCCGAGGGCCGCCCCGGGCACCCCCGGGGACGGGTGTCCGAGCAGGGCTTCATACAGCGGCCCCCAGCGCAGAGCCACCCCGGCGGTCGCCCCGGCTGCCTCCCCAGGTGGCTGCTGGAGCCCCGGGAGCGATTGAGGGAAGAGCCCCGCCTGGGGTGTCCTGCGCCGGAGGGCCTGGCCGGGCGGCAGCTCGCTGCCCGGGCCTCGGCGGGGCTTTAATCGCTCTGAAAGGGAAGCACTGGGCTTCAGGTGTGGGAGCGGGGAGTCGGCTCGCTTGGGGGAACGCGGGGTGCTGCGGGGGCGGGCGGCTGTGAGGGCCGGGCAAAGGGGAAGCCGAGGGTCCTCCTCGGGGGGAAGGGACAGCACGCATCTTCTCGCAGCCTGTCGGAAGCTGCTGGTCCTCCAGGAGACTTCTCTGGGCAGATGTAAATTGCCTGGGTGGAAAACGAAGCTGTCCGTGTCCTGATGGAATAGGCTAATACACTGAGGAGTGGAACGAGAAGCCAGTCAAAGCTTTTTTGCTTCCTTTTCTCTCTCTTCGCCCTCAGTTTTGTTCCTCAGTTTGCGCGCGTAGATCATAACGTCCTTTGCAAACCTCTCGAGTGGAGTGGCCCCGCTTAGCGGGATGATAACGGGCGTCTGGCCCTGGCGCGGGCGGGCTGTGTCCACCGCGGGGGGCTGGAGCCCCTGCGGGCACCGGGGGCCGGGCCGGCGAGCTCGGAAGCCCGGGGGCCAGGGGGGGGGGGGGGAAGGAGCCCGCGGGAGCTGGGCTGGAGCTGCGCACCCGGGGTCCTCCCTGCCGCGCTGCAGATCGCAGGGCAGGCAGGGCTCTTCCCTGGCTCCGGTGCGAGCAGAGCCGAGCGCTCCCGAAATTCAGGGACCTCCTTCGCAGCCTTGTCCCCACGTATCCCCGCGATTTCATTTGCTCGCGCGGTTCCAACAGACTTTATCAATGACCTGATTTTGTTGGGGCTGATAGCAATGAGCAAACGTGTTTGGGCTAACAGGGTAGCAATGCTTTAAATTGCATCTGCTGAATGTGCTTAACTGTGCATTTAATTTGAATTTAATAGAGCAGTTCATTTTAAAAATGTGAAACAAGTTCTGGGAAACCCACTTAGAGGATTAACGCAAACACAAGTGTAGACCCTGTTGCTGTGGTTTGATGCTAATGTTACTAATTATTGACTTTTTTCTTTCGTAAAATCAAGTATATTTGGCTGCTTTTATTTGTTGTGTTAAATTGTCTTCTGGGGCTGGGTTCGCCCACAATTGAGGTGAGGTTTGGAAGTGGCCTGTCCCGTGTTGGACTCAGCCTTTCTGTTCCTGCCTAGGCTAATCTTGCCCTATGTAGATCTGTGGCAAAACTCCCAGAAATGTGGGATCCACCAAAAAAAAATTTGGCACTCAGACTAGAAATCCACCCTCAGTTAATCCCTCAGGTGTCTACAAACCTGACTTCTCTCAGCCATGTCTCCAACCAGAACAGCAAACACCATTTTTTCCAAACCGGCTACACCAAAACCATGGAGCAGGAGTTCTCAGTAAGGTGCTGAAGTGGGGTAAAAAGGGACTCTGCAGGATCAGAGCGTGGCTGTGTCTGCACGTAGCTGCTCCATCTGTTGTAGGACCAGCAGAGATGCTCGCAGCACACGGAGCTTTGCCGGACCTTTGCTGGGTGTCCTGCTCCCTCGTCCCTTCTCCTCTTGTTGCCCTGCTACTTTATGGAGGTTTGTCTTCGCCTTCACCATCTGTGCAGATTTCACCTTTGTTGAATATCCATTTGTTACTATGAATGTATTTAGTTAGGTGGATGTGCTGCTGTTAAATCTGAGTGGCTTAGATATAGCTAAAATTATGACTACTTGTTGTATAATATTAAATTAAACTCTTGTTCGGGATGCTTAATTTAAATGTGACTGCGTTATTTATGCAGCAGTATTTGCTGGAGAAGTGACCTCAGGAGAAGGCTGATGACAACTGTTTTACAGTATCTTTCATTGTATCATGTTATTATTGGTGATCATTTTTCATGCTGCTTTGACTGAGTGCCCCTCTTGTAAAATTTCAGGCCATGAGCAATAGGGTGATAATAAAGATTTGCACGAACAAACTCCCTCACACATTCGTTTTGCAGAGGATGAAAAAAAAATGTGGCAAGATTTCCATTTGAATTAATGTGTGAATGAGAGAGAAGTTAAAGGAAATTCCTTACTGCAGCCTGATGCCTGTAACACTTAGAGGGTCTTACAGCTTCCTGAAATGCAGCTGTGAAATTCAAACACCCTCTGCTTTTCCTGGTCTTGCCTACTTTTTGAGGACTGGTTTGTCCCTCTGACAGTCTCACCTTGAGCAGGGAGAATGATACCACCCTGTGCTTGAGGAGGTTCAGCAGTGCACTTGCAAAAGGAGCTGTGGCAGCCTGACTTACAGCTTGGGAAGGTCAGCGTGTTGCTTATATATTCCATGTATCAGAAGGGCAAATGTGCAGAGCAGGAGCATGGGGTGGGGGAAGACTGCAGCGAATGTCTCGAAGCTGAGAAGAAGCCTTCTTCAATTCAGCCTCTTACATTTTCAAATGATACAGATGCTTTTATGTGTTCCGTATCATACTGTGGTTGTTTTGCTGTCACAGCAGCATTACAGTATTATTGCCTTTCTGCAGTAGTTTACTATGGACAGATACTCATCGACCATCTCTTGCCAGGCTCGTTATATTAGCTGGAAAAGCCTCTGAAATGCTCGTGTCAGTGGTGACCCGCACGCTTTCCTGCCCTCTGGAAATTGCCATGAAGCGGGGTGCTGTCATCAGCCCAGCTGCTGCATTGCCACTGAGTTGTTGTCGCCTCTAAAGCTGCTCAAATTATATTGGGGCCTCTTTGGGTGAAATAGGAAAAAGAGGAAGGAGTATCAAAGGTGTATCATTATTTTTAGTCTCCATGTTGCTGAAGCTGGGGGCTCTGGCCCTCTGTTTTTCCAGGGTAGTACCTTGGGTTTTGCTGTGATTCCTCTCTCATTCCTCAAGGCAATCCTGTAGCTCTTTCAGACCAGGGCCGCACATACTTCTGTAAACATATAGATGCATCTACGAACACATCAGTGCAGCCACAGACAAAGGGAATGTGGGAAAGAAATACAGGACACGACAGAAACAATCGTTATGCTGGGCTATAATTAGTAGGTCTCTTGCTGCTGGGTTGTTGTCTGTGGTTGTTGTTCTGCTTCGTCACTCTGCCCTCCCAAACTAGGGAAGAAAAGAGACTGCCTAAGGTACGGTGGAACGTGCTGCAGAATGCTGTGAATGCTACCTCCAGACCAAGTCATGGAAGAAATTATCTAGCAGACACCATTTAAAAGAAGAGACATGACGTCTAGCTCAGGACAGAGACAAGCTGCGGTTTGCTGGAGGATGGAAGAGGTATCCCCATGTATTTGCTCGGTTATACTCTGGATGACTGGTAGTGGCTATGGTGGGATGTAGGTACCAGGCTGGATGTATCTTTAGCATGACTCGAGGTGTCCGTTCTTCCGTTATGAGCCACTTTTTTTTCTGAAGTGAGTTTCCTTGTCAGTGCAGAAACTGTGAAATCATGTCACTGAGAACTTACAGTTGCTCTTCCAGGAAAGCAAAAGCAAAGTTGTTCTTCAAAGCCAAGAGCACTGCTGCTCTGCAGAAGGGCTGCAAGGAGGTTTCTCGCCCTGTTCCTGCAATCCTGAGATGCAGCTCAGTTTTTAGACTGGGGAAGAAAACACCGATCCTGAATTTCCATTTCCACAGGGCAGAAAGTGACACAACTTGGAAGATATGGGCTTGTTATTTCTTCAGTGTTATTTCTCTTTCCTTTTTCTCCCTTGAGATCGAAGTGAAACCTTTTATTAAGTAAGGTGAAAGAAGTGACAGTTGCAGAATTTCAGCTAATTGGTTTTATCTCCTGTACTGCAAGGTGCTAATCTTAGTGGTTAGGCATTTGCACCAGGCATTGTTACTGCTTTGAGGGAATGATTTTTGTGCTTGTCATAAAAACTCTAGAACAGTACAAAATAGAGAAGGAAAAGAGTTATTAGGTCTTCTGGCACAGTCCTCCACGGTGCAAGATTGTTCCCTGTGGTATTATCCAATACTTGGTTCTAGCCACTCTTAAATTACCTGGGTTATAGAGATTAATTTTGTCTAGACTTCTGAATTTTAGCTAGGGACTTAAGTGAGCTGAATGTTTTGGACCCAGAACATTGGTATTTCAAAAATCAGAAGTCAGCCTCAAAACATGGAAACAAACCCACCCAAATGACAACAGATAACCCAGCACTTTCCGGGTTAGTTGTGACCAGAAATGTGGTCCATTTTAAAGGGCCAAAATGCTGCCGGTTTGGTTGTTCCCACCATGGCAGAGCCGGGAGGTCTTTGGACCTTTCCCATGAGAAAGTGGAGCCTCCCAACACACGTCTCCAACTCTACAACAAAGAGAATTTTAAATGTGCTGAAATTAGCACTACTTAG